ATCTTCTTCACATATTTGAAACTCCAATCCAATCGACTTGTTACTCTCTACACCGCCACATACAAATGGCTATGAGTAAAAATGGGGCGACTTGGTAAGATGACAACATTTTTCAACAATTGTCCATGACTCTTATTAACGGTCATGTACACCTAATAATTAATAGAAAGTGTTTCCGCTGAAAGTGAGTGGAAGTCTAATGTATGATGGTGCTAAAGTAATTCTAGGAATAAGAAACTTTTTGCTGACATTGTATAATCACCAGCATAATTAGACTTCCAAAAGCATCTAAGAGAATGTATCTCGTGTAGGAGGTCACTATCTGAGCTAGATAATAAGCTGAAATCTTAGTGCCTGCTGAATATTTAACTCTGAATCTATGTGACGCAAGATGTATTCTTTGACCTTATCAACCACGTCTATGGAGTAAGAATTGACCTGAAATAAAGATATGAAGTCAAATTTACTTCGAGTTAAGAAGTTAGGACAAATGCTCACAATAGATTCAACAGTATCATATACCATTGGAGCAATAATATCATTCAGTATATCAATGAGTAACCGTTCATAAAAGATTGGATAGTGGGGCCACTTTGCTCAACGGTCATCCTTGCAAGTCTCATGTTCTTAGATTGTCAAACTACAATACAGTATGGCCATTTGAAGTTATGAATGAAGAGTTTGAGGTTGCGTGTACAATATATTGCCTCATGTCTTTCAGAAACCACAAACAATATTTGTCTAAAGTCACCCCGGAATATAATCGACTTCCCACTAAAAGGCAAGTTTGCATCCTAATGAGTGGTGAAGTGAAGGAAACCTCTCATACTTCAATTCATCAAGAGTTTGTCATTGATATTGTATTTAAGATTAAATATTAATATTTAAATATAGTTAAACGGATACTACTATTAAGATTAAAAAAATTATTATAATTTAGTGAGTACTATATTTGAGATTAAATACAATTTATTAAAAGGAAAATATTCGAATAAACTCTTCTATTATTTCCAATCCGTCTCTTAAGCCTTTATACTAAAAAAAAGTATCACATATGTACATTTACTTTAAAAAATGATCAATTTTTCCATTTGATCAGTTTTTGATTGGTAATGGCAGGTTTTTTTAATTAAAAAAAACTCTAAAGAAATTGTTGAAATCTGAAGAAATGCAAGTAAAAAATGTGAAAATTTTCATAATGTCAAAGTCAACATCTTTGAATTTTTGAAATTATTTTTATATTCTACATTTACTGTATATTCTATAGCTATTTAAAACGTTTCTTCATTTTTTTAATTCATAGGTTTTACATTTTCACTTTGTTTTTTCAGTTTTCTGATTTTTATTTTTATTTAATCATTTTTAAATTATTTATCAATTTTTAAATTTATACTATTTATATATTATTACTACATTATTATTCAAATATATATATATATATGAATTTTATAAGATTTATCAATAGTCATAAATTGTTATTTTACAACTAACTTGCTATAATAGGTCAATGAATTGAAAATAATAGAAGAGTTTATTTGAACTTTTCTCTTTGTTAACAATATTTAAACGGGTACTATATGACTAAATTTTACTCTTTGATGTTTTGAAAGGGAAAAAACAGTTACTTCAAAGGATAGTAGATTTAATATTGATTGAGATTAACCAAAATTTAGTAGCCATAAATTCTAAATATAACTTGAACATCAATTTGTCAAAACTAAAGGTTGGAGAAAAGTTTAATAAAAGTGTAACTCTCTCATTATTTATGTTGATTGTTTTTTCCTAAAGTGGTAAGACTTTCTCTCAAAGTAACTTGAAACTATTAAAAAAGTACTTCCTAATTTACTTGTGCTTCTAATATATTATGAATTTATCAAATAAGTAATTACATTTTATTTAGGGTTTGGAAGATTGAGATATGGTTAATTTATATTATAGCTACCCAGCACACAAATGTGACCTTTGTGAAAGTTAAGTTAACTCTGGATCTTGAACAATTGAACGGGGATTTAGAAGAACGAAGTGATAAAGGGTAATAAGGAGAGCATTGAGGCTATGTCATATGTGTATAATATCTTAATGAAGTCCAAAATAAATCATGTATTTAACTAAAATAGACGAGCTTTGCGATAGGAAAAGATACTTCATGTAAGGGATTTCGAAGGCTATGCTTCGGTATGAAAAATGAGTTGTGTGCATTATTATCACATAGATAGATCTCTAGTAGAATTATTTTGTGGTGCAAAATAAGCACCACATATGATGACACATCTCGTTAGTCAAAAGCTTAAGAGCCTAAAAGAAATCTACAACTTAATTTAAATTATTAAAACTTAACGGTTGTACATGACTCTGTCAATTTTTAAATATTGTATCATGCATCCAAATACTAAAAGAAATAGGAAGCAAAGGACAATTATGCATTTTCTAACTACCATTAAAGAAGTAAGGTAAAGCTATACTTTTAAAACTTTCTCTATTTATTTCAGTTTAAGAAATAAATAAGCAGGAGACTAATGATAGCAATGTGAAAGGGAATCTAAAACATTGTTTAGATTGTTATAGGCATGTAGGCTTTTTCATCAATTCTAAGGGGGAGGGGGGGTCATTTTTTCACAGCTTGGGCTGATTGTGGATGAAGTTAAAAGTCTGTTAAAGAAGAATAAACCGTCAAAATATGGATGACATAAGTTGAGTTGTAGATCAAGCAGAAAAATAGAGTTTAAGTTCACCAACAGGCTGAACAAACTTAAACTTTTTTTCTAAATCATTCACTCTTTAACATTTTTAACTTCAAGCAGTCCTATTTCTTCTTCAATACAACCTGATCTCTGGAAATAAAAACATATATATATATAAACAATCAGATTAGTTCAAATAGCTTGAATCCAAGTAATGATAGAAGACTTAAAGACAAAAGGCAAGTAAAGACAAACTGCATTATTTATAAACAATAACATCCTAGCAAATTTAATATCTGACTTCTAATATGTCATTGCAGTACTCCTTACATATCTTTACTCTTTTGTAGTTCTTGATGCTATTTTGGGGTCATATTTGGAAACCTAACTATTTTGGGAGTATATCATGAATCTAAATGGCAGAGGAAAGTTCATTCAGTTAAAGAGTATATATTTTTTAAAAATGAAAGTAATCCACATTTCTATTTATAAAAACTGAGGAACCCATCAGAATTGTAATACAGACTAAAATGATTAAAGATTGTTGATTTAGGAAACATGAAGACATGTCAGATTCTATTTACCCAATGAAGGAAGAAAACATACATTATGAGATGGAAGAAGACCATGATGCCGAAAATTCAGTGACTCGAATCTCCTTTAAGAGGAAGAAGACACTAATGGTGGGGAAGGCTGAGATTTGGAAAAAGTCACACGTCTAAGTGCTTCTCTAGTTCTCTGCGGAAAAAGTTAAGCACACATCAATGAAATGAATAAGATAAAAATTAATATAAAATAAAATAACATAATAACATAAAAAGATAAAACTCCTAAAAAATAAAAAGATAAAAGAGCATAAGGAAGATAAAGATAAAAATAATATAATATAAGAACATAAAAAGATAAAGAAGAGAAAAGATAAAAGAGAAAGAGAAAAAAAAGATCAATCGTCCATATGGATATGCGTCATCCACTTTGCTTTCTTCAAATCCATATTCTCATCCAACCTCAGAAGAAGCATATCATTTCTGATTCCTAATTATTGTCTTATATAAAATTTTGATATCTAATGATGTTTTCTTTTGGACTGTTTTCAGTCCCAAACCAGACAAGACTTCTGTAGTTATAAAATATTCAGAGACTAGACGGTTACCAGACCAGACCAGACCATCAAATTTTAGTCCAAAAGAAAACATTCTAATTAAAACTGAAATAAGATTTATCATGAATCATTTTGAAAATTTTGAGCTATATTTCTCAACGAATTTCCAACGAATGTACCACATAAATCAATGCAAGTTACGAAATATAAATCAAAGGATATTGCAATCAAACTGTTAAAAATAGAAGTGGTTGTCACTGCACTTCAATATGATATAAATGTTCAGTTGATGATGTGGCTTAGTCATATTAGAGATTTGAGAAATGCTGTGACACCGCACCCGAACGTCCTTGAAAATTCAATTTAAATTCAAATATATGTATCGAATTTCCGACTCCAAACAATTGTAAAACGATTAATGTTCTACGTAGTGCATGGTTGAATATCGTACTATTCAAACTCGTACATTAGTGTCGGGTTTTGCAAATACTTATTCGGGACTTATTAATAAATAAAAAAGCCCAACATTATCTAAATAGTGATACATAATCTTTCAAGACAATTTGAGGAAGGTCGGGCGGCCCAAACATTATTTGGGGCCCAACCTGCTAAAAATAGCAAGTATTCGAGAATGGCGTTCTAGACCCACTCGGGAGTGACCCACACGGCTAGTAGCCCAATAATATGTATGACAAATGTCAAATAAGTGATAGAATGATTAAAGAAGAATACAAATGCCTATAACCCCATCTTTGGCATTATTGAGCTAAATAATGGGAGTAGGATTTTCCTGCTATGATATCCATCAAGTAAATTATTGTGATGAACCTACACATATTGGAGATCAATAATGTGATGGAGGAAGTTGACTTGTTCTAAATAAATTAGGATGAGTACAAAAAGACATCTTTGACAAAAGATAAAACTATAGGACCCATCTTCCCATTTTTGGAAGTATTGATATATATTTTGGACCCCAAAATGATTGGGATCAATTGGGAACCACTCCACATGACTTGAGTACCTGCAAGACAAAGAAAAAATGGGTGAGATGACTATATGGGGCGAGCATGTTGACTTAAGAGCAATACATTACAAAAAGAAATAAAAGTGGAGGTCCACCTCACATTTGATTGGAAACCAATGTCTCCCATGCTCTTTTGTGAGCCACATGCTCTCTTAGCATGTTTAAGGCATCCTTTACACTCCCCCCTACACCCCATTCGAACTCCCCAAGATAAGAGAGAAGGAGAGAGCCACATAACCAAGATAAGCCAAAGAGAGAGCAAGCTGTCCGCAGGTTCGTTCTTCAGTGCGTAGCTCTGATTGTTTGAGCCATAACTCGAGATTCACTCGTCCAATTAAGGCGTATAAGATACCAAAAGAAAGCTCTCAAGACGAGGAATCCGTGGATGTCTGGTTTGCATCAATCGGAGTAGTGTAAGGCTTCCAAATCGTCCGAGAAAAACACAACCTCGCAGAATACGTTTTTGTATTCAAAGTAAGTTTGAATCCAAAACCTTCCTCTCTATTGTCTAAATCGTATAAATGATTGAAGAACTATTATACACTGATTGAAGTGTATAAAATGTTATTATAAAGTGACTTTAATTGTTGGAAAGGTTAGATACTAACCTAGACAAAACCTTGAAAGGTTAGGGAACGAATTCGTCGGGAAACACCCGTTCTAGGGACTGTTTTTGCGTCTTCGGTTAGGAGTTGAACTAGCACTTTGAGGGGGCTGTTTAACACTCAATTCCAAGCAAGGAATCAGTTCTAAAACCTTCTTGGCCGAGGCTTTGGTCGTTGGAGCGAGAAGGAAGGTTTTAAAGCTCATTTGAGGTGAGGACCGACATCTAGTTGCTTACAACTTGTAGGTTATGCATGAGATTACCTAAATGCTTAAATCATGTTTTTGTGAATAAATATGCTTGAACATGATAGGAATGATAAGAAATGGACTTGATCATGAATTGAAACCATATTGATGAATATGGAGTCATGTGATATAAAAGTATGCTAATATGGTAAATTGACTTTTCCAACTCATGTATGAATGTTATGTGTATGTAAATGTATAATTGCATGATGATGCTTAATACATGGGAGGCTGCCACATATCTATTGATATGGAGGGGCTACCATTAATGATAAATGAGTTGTAGGAATAATCTTAATGGTATTGTGATGCTAGTTAAGGATTGTCCTAAATGTGTTAGAATCAAACTTAAGGTTTGAGTTTGTTTGTGATGAACTTGAATAAGATTCAAGTGTCAATTGTGAATTCATGGAGTAGGAGATCTATGGTGTGACTTTATGGAGTAGGAGATCTATGGTGTGATTTTATGAAGTAGGAGATCTATGATGTGATTATATGAAGTAGGAGATCTATGGGGTGAATGCATGAAGTAGGAGATCTATGATATAATTGTATGAAGTAGGAGATCTATGATGCGAGTGCATGATGATGTACTCGAGCCGAACTCTAGAGAGGAGAAGTTATATTAGGGTTGGACTCTATGTATTGTCGTGACTATTAGTCACGGGGTTTGGGAAATGTTTTGTAACAAACATGGGCCTTTGAGCCGACTACTTGACTTTATATAAAGTAAGTATATATTTTGAAAGGGGTAATTTGGGATTACGGCCTATACTATATTATCACCCTATTTGAGGGTCTTGTGTGTGAAATACTTGTTGTATATCTATTAGATGCCTGCCACACCAGTACTTTATAGCCGTATAGAGTACTGACCCCTTCGGGGGCGTCCCACCACCATTTCAGGTTGAGGCTTGAGCTTGTTACTTGTGCCCGTTGTTCGGGTGATCCTTTGGAGAGAAGACGTGGTTCGTGCTTTCTCCATTCTGTTTTGAACAATAATAAACATGCTCATGGATATTTTACTATAGAGCCTGCGTGCTCATGAATAGCCCTGTGTGGCCCTTTTGTTTTAAACAATGTTTTCCGCTGCGTTATGAATTACTTATTATGTTTGTTTATGGATGTTATGTGTGTGAATGATATTCAAGACGCCTTGTATAATATGAATGTGTTGGACTGCGGTTGACTATTCGTATTGTACGGCGGGTTGTTGACGTGTCCGGGGAGGTCCGGGGCGTGACAAATGCTTTACAAAAAAAAATCGTAAGAATGTCATAGTAAGAGGTAAGCTTGTATTTAGTGGTGCATGAGTTTATGAATTTACTTAAGAGTGATTATGAATGCCACTACAATTTTCTAGAACTTTATGTCAGTTTTCGTGGCTCAAGAGGTGTCATGTTCTTGTAACGATACACCTTGGTGAAAAAGAGAATGTGAATTGTATAACTATTTTTCTTATTTTATTTCAAGATATGGTTGTCCCCCCCTCCAACAACATGTTCCCAAACTTGTTAACTGGCAAAGAAAAGGGGTGCTAAATGTGGCTAAGCAGATATCTGGTAAATACAAGTTACTAGCATTACTTAATTAAATGTTTATATATAATTTTTAAATTAAATTTTTAGTGTGTTATTTTGTAATTTCTTATGTTCTTTTGTGTAGGATTTGAAATTGCTATGCTGAAGCGGCACACTTAAATCTAACACATTATGCTTCAATGGTTGAAAAGGAATTCATTAAGACAATTGATGAGTTGTGCACCTATGACTTCCGGAACCGTAGGAATGGAGAGAAGGCACACATTTGCCTTCAACAATGCATGTTGGATGAAGTTTTATGGCCTCGTCAAGAAGGTGAGTGTAAGTGAAAGGAGAATGAATAGAACATTTAAACAAAATTAACTTTGATAAAAATAAAATCATAATATAAATAGATATAATTATTGAGAGTAGAACAATATTACTACAAAGAGAAGAAAATATGTGTGTTACTATGCTTTAGATACATTACAATGTGAGTATATAAGAGAGCGAAAAGAATGGGTGCATTGATAATGCATGGGACATGAGATAAATAGGGACCTATGTATAAATAATATAGGAATGCGACAACACTTTATAATGTGTTGATACGGAGATATTCAATAACTCCATAAATTTGAAATGAATCATTCCATGAGATGTTACAATTGTGTGCTATGTATATTCATAATGCTTACTACAGTACCTTACTCCCTTTTCGAATTTATTTTTTCTTTAACTTATCTCATTAGATTTACTTCTATGTTTTTTCTAATTTGGTCATAGGAGATAGGTACCCGTCGTATGGTGAGTTTGTTCCCATGTGCGGATATTTTAGACTGCCACCCCATGAGTATTTTTTACTCAGAGCCATTGCACATCAAATGGTTTTAGTAAGAGTGCATGTGGGTAAAGACTTCCGCGCTTATCAAGGAGTAAGTGTTATACTTTGTGAGTTGTTTTAAATTGTTATTAAGTTCTCAAAATTTTATACCAAAATTTAATTTTTATAGGGTATTTTTTAGAGGAGAACGTAATCGAGAAGAAAGACAAAAATTAAACCTTGCATGAACGCAATTGGATACGATTACGAAAAGGTTTATATAACCCTTCAAAACTCTTGGGGAAAATCATGGGGTGACAATGGATGCACCAGATTTGCTATAGGGACTGACAACATAAGCGGGGTCAATGGAGTATACAAGGAGTGTTATATCCCCTATTTACACAATCAAAGGACTCGCTTTAATAAGCTATTGGTATGTAAATTAATTGATATATTTGTTCATTAATAGATTTGAAGTCCACAATACGTAGTTCTTTTTTCATTAATTATTGTTTTATATTAACATATACCCATATTCATTAATTAGTGGATATTGGATCATATGCTCCAAAAACTTTGAAGCCACCATTAACAGTCCCTATACCCCTGAGGAGATTAAGGAGTACGTTGTTATTTGATTAAATTTTTAATATGATTAAGTTTGTTGTATAATAACTTTGAAATGTATTTATTTTCTATATTTCTTTTTCGATACGCGAGGGTAAGCTGGTTGTGAATGGAAATCATCTGAGACATTTAGTAATTTTCTATGGTGTATATTGGATTCAACAAATGTTTGGATTCTTTTTTCTGATATGGGTTGTGCGGCATATAACAAATGTTGTGTAAATACAAGCCAAAACTGATTTAGATTTTTACTTTTTCGGCGTGTCGTTTGTATGATGTTTTCAGTGACTCTTTGTTTTTGTTTTCTCTAACTTATTTCGAAAAAGGAAGAATGAAGATTATGTGGCTATTGTATTTGGTGAAGATTCTTGTGAACAACCAAAGATTGATGAACTAAGTTGTATGTTCAAATATGAGGGCCCCGCTTGGAGATGTTGTATCTGTGCACCAGTGTCCTGATGTTAAATATGAGAAGCGCATGCACAAATTTCCTATGAATGATACAATTGAAGGGGTCAATGGAGATATCTTTGAATCCTATTTGAAACGTATGTTTTCTACTAAATGAGCTAATTTACGTATGACTCTATGGTTTGTTCAACTGTTCAAGTGAATTAAATTCCTAGGATGGTGGATTTGTTTCATATGCTTAACTGATACCAAGTAGTTTATTTACTGATTACCTTTCCACACTTGATACTTTTAGTTATAATTATGAAGATAGAAAACCAAAAGCATCTCTTATTCCCTTGGTGTATAATAGAAGACTCTGAGCTCAGGCTTTGTTTTCTGATTGATCTTATGTTCTTCAAATAGCAAAGCTGTCTCATCTAGTTGAATATTTGATCGTCCATCTTCAAACTGAGCAATTCTCAACTTAGTAAGCTATGAAGATTCGGTTACATAAAGTGATCATCCAAGCTTCATTGTTTTTCTCTTCGAACTGTGTGGCTGAAATTACTGATTTTTCATCTTCTATCCTAGTGAAATCACGATGATTACATTTGTGCAACTTACTGTTTGGAGGCATATCGACCTGTGAGGATAGGAGACCATTTCCCCGATAGAGAAGGGATAGAGAAATAATGTGTTGTTTCTCCAGACACTAAAATCTTATGTGAGGGTGAGCCAGTGAGGCGGGAGGATGGGAATAGGCTATGATGATGTTGGTGGTGCGAGAAAAAAATGGCTCAAATTCGTGATTTTGTTGAGTTGCCGTTGAGGCATCATCAACTTTTCAAATTCATTGGGGGTGAAGCCACCTAAGGGCATTTTGCTAATGAAGCTGGTGCAATCTTCTTCTGCATCAATGGTCCAGAAATCATGTGCCAATGTGCTGGAGCAAGTGAAAGAAATCTTAGTAAGGCACTTGAAGAGGCTAAAAAGAATGCTCCCTCCATCGTATTTATTGATGAGATCGACTCGATTGCCCCAAAACGGGAGAAAACGCACGGTGAAGTTGAGAGAAGAATCGTCTCGCAACTCTTAACTTTGATGGATGGACTGAAATCACTTGCTCATGATGTTACAGTTCTTCAGGTTCATACTAAGAACATGAAGTTGGCAGAAGATGTAAGGCATTCACGTAATCACATGGGTTTATGTTTTTGATGTGATGCAGAAAGCAAATAAATGCTCTCATACTCTCTATTCATTTTGGAAGCTGTTTCTCTATTTTTGTTAGGTTGATCCGGAGAATATTGTGGAAGACGCTCATGGCTACGTTGGTGCTGATCTTGGTGCTCTTTGCACTGGAGCTGCACTTCAGTGCATTGGAGAAAAGACGGACATCATTGAACTGGAGGATGAAAGCATTAATGCTGAGGTTTTGAATCATATGGCTGTTTTGAATGAACACTTCCAAACTGCCCCTGGAACAAGCAAAGTCTCTGCTTCACGTGAGACTGTAAGTATTTTTCTTTGGTAACATTTAAAGGCTGTTTTGGATAACTTTATGGTATATGTGCTTTCTCATTCAAGCACTTAAATGGTTTTCTTAAAGCAACAATCTGATGCTTTCTTCAATAAGCACTAAAAGTGGGTTTGTTCTTCTATAAAAAGTGCTTCTCTTTGAAGTAGTGTTTTTCCAATAAAAGCATTTATGCCTTGAAGTTAGTATTACAAATGAACTTTGATATTGTGATGACATGATATAGTTTTAAGAACACAATGTTACTGCTTTTATACTTCAATGTACCTTCAGGTTGTGGAAGTGCCCAATGTCAGTTGGGACAATATTGTAGGCCTTGGAAATGTTAAGAAAGAGCTTCAGTAATGATCTAAAATATACTGCTTTTATTTTGTTAATGGCCTTATCTAAAATATTTTTAGTGTACGGTCTAATTCTTTTTACTATCATGCACGTAGACTGTTCAAAATCTTGTGGAACACCCCGAGAACATAGCAAGTAAGTGTCAAGCTAATTTCATTAGTGGAACATTCTATCTGTTCAGTAGATGGCTGCATTATGAACAAACAATATATTTTAAAATTTACTGGACTATTTATTACAACAGAGAGATAAAGATATATGGAAAAGACTTAAACATTATCCTTCAACCGATTTAGCACATGAAACATCTTTAATACGCAATATAACACATCAATCGAGTTTTTTGTGTCGTTGCAAGATATACAGAGGGAGAGGAGGAAGGGGGAATTCGGACTCCGTGGATGATGAATTGGTAGAGATAAAGTCTGAACATTTTGAGGAGTCAAAATGATTTGGGCTGAGCTCCGGTTCATGAAGTCTAGAGGATTTTGACTAGATCCGACCTGTTTGCAAATACTGCTTCCTGCACACGACGAAGAGGACCTGTATAGTTGAATATATCAATGGTTCTCTCTTATCCAAATTTAGTATATGAAGAGGACCCGTTACTCTAGAAATTTAGAATTCAATAGTATTTAGGACTACGTTACAAATATATAAATGGTTCTCTCAAGTGCTCAACATTATTAATTCTAAGTCATTAGTATTACATATTATATGTAAATTCTACTACGTTAATTTAAGACAAATATGTTGGTATTCTACCTAATTTCAATATGGTAACTCTTCGGCACATTCACATTATTGCATGTTTTGGTGCATTCACCATGTGGTTGAGTCTAAATTGATATCTATTCCATGTCAACTAGTTACTCCACCCGTGCGTTCCACGGGACTGAAGTACCACATAGAAGTTTAGACACATTTAATACAGTAAAAAATGAATTATTTAGTTGAAAACATTTAATAATAAGTTGTATAATTGATATTGAATAGGAAATTAACAAACATTCTTTTTTGTTGTTAGTTAAAGTTGGGAAATATACCATTTTTGTCTCGTAACTTTCGGTCTTTTTTATTATTAGTCCCGCAACTTTAGTCACTTGCGAATTTGGTCATGTAACTAATAAATATTTGTGATTCGAGGTCTTTTCCCCTGAAAAGTACACTTTCCGACGATAGTACACCAGAAAAATTTCTCCCGTGTCAGATTTTTCTGTCGGAAAGTGTACTTTGCGGAGGAAAAGTCATTGAATCGCAAATACTAATTAGTTACAGGACCACATTTGCAAGTGACTAAAGTTGTGGAACTTATAATGAGAACGACAAAAAGTTACGGGACAAAATTGCAAATTTCCCAAGTTTAACTAACAACAAATAACAATGGATGAAGTACATAAGTTCGAGCATTATTTGTTAATTTCTTATTAGTTAGAGGACCAAAATTGCAAGTGATTAATGTTACAGGACTAATAACGATAACAATCAAACGTTACAGGACCAAAATTGCAAATCTCCCATTAAAGTTTTCAGTTTCATGTTTCCCAACACACAATTATTACTATTGATATATTTCATTCGTTATTAGTGAAAAAATTAAAAAGTACATTAACATGAGGGGAATTTAATAGTAATTTTCAAGAATTAAATTTTAATACATTAATAAATAAAATTTGATCAAAGTAGAATACGTGAATAGTGAAAAGCTAACATGTTGAACCAATTTAAGAACTGATGTATACATAGTATAAATCATCACTCCATGGAAAATGTGTGCATGAAACTGTCAAGGTAAACTACAAATTAGTATAAACATCTTTGTATGTCATATTCAACATGGACTTTGCTGATTTTTGTCTTCATCACATATCACAAATTTCAACTCATAAACTTGTTACTTTTTAGAGTGTCACAAACAACTATTCATGCGTAAAAATAGGCTGGCAGAGGAAGATGTCAACATTTTCTAATGATTGTCCATAACTCTTATTAATGGTCATTGCACAACGATCATTAATGAAATTTGTCTACACTTGAAGGTGAATGTAATCCTAACATTCGACGGTGACTAAAAGTAAGTCTAGGAATAAGAAACTTTTTACTGACACTTTTTTCGTGCATCAACTGAGACTTGATATTGTTACCTTCAACTTTAGTCATACCAGGAGTTGCATGATATGTTGCACAATACAGATGAATAATCTATATTCCTAAGAAGCATCACAGGCACCCCCACTTTCAACTCTAGTTCATGACTCGACAACTTTAATGCTATTAAGAAATTCAGGAGAATATATCTCGTGTAGGAGGTCACTACCTGAGCTAGATAAGGAAGCTAAATTTGAGCTTAGATAAGTCTTTTGCTCTTAATATATCTAAGTCAACATGTGATCGTTGACCATATCAACCTCATCTTTGGTCGAAGCAAGAATAATCCTAGAATAAAGATAAGAATTCAAGATGTTCTAAGTCAAGAAGTTAGGATAAATAGCTCGAATAACAGATTGAACAAGATTAGATGTCATTGGAGCATCATACCGTCTGTTATATTAATGATTGCAGAACCACTATTTACCAAACAACTTTTTCACATGCTGAAAACGCTGAAACTGGTCAAACCGTCATTTTTCGGCTGAAACACCATTTCCCAAACACCCCCATTATCTTCAAACTTTTCTTTTTCGTCCGTCCTAAAATTATCTCATATTTCCTTTTTGGGAAAGAATTTGTGGTTCACAACCATTCTTACACATTCTTCTCTCTTCTCCACAATTCTCCATCACACAATTCTCACTATCTTAATTTGTGTGCCTTGTCAAAGGAGGGGTTTTTATAGGGATGGGGGGATTAATAAATTAATAAACCCAAATAACCAAATTATCCTTATTATAGAAGCAATCAAGCATCAAAGAGTTATTATGCGTGATTTACATCTTCATGTGTGAGAGTTACATCTTCTTATGCACAATTTACATCTTCGAGTGCGTGAGTTACGTTTTCATATGTGTGTGTTACGTTTTGACTTGCCTCAAGTTGCATTTTGCAGACACGCCATTTACATTTGTCTTTTTTCAAGTTATATTTCGCACATATGCGATTTATATCTCATACTAGTTTTTCACCCGTGTGTTGCACAAGATTACAAATTATGAAATTACCCATAAAGTTATCCCTTTCCTTAGTTATCTGGAGTCCATATTATTGACTCTACGCAAGTATAATACACACTACCAACTAAATTATGAGTTGCATTTAAATGTGTACCCAAGATTGTAGACTAACAACAAATCAATGTATAAAAAGTGTTCTAACAATTGGAGTTCTCATTACCCATCTCCCCTGAATCTAGGCACTTGTGCATTTGAATTTTTTTTATATGAAGACATTCTAAAAGAACCTAGTAAAGATTTGAATCCTAAAATAACAAAAGAAGATTATAGGAACATATTATTTGCAAAAGTTTGCCCCTAATAATTCATCTCCGAGTCTCATAAGCATATTTTGAATCTATGTGAAACTTTTCATAGTTTTATCATTCCAATCGATAATTAGGCCAAAGAAAAAATTGGCCTTAACTTCAAAATTAACCTGAAAGAGCGAGAAGTAAGCATATAATCACCAATATTAGCCTTAACTTCAAAACGCATCATTCCATATAAACCATGCTCTTCAAAACTGTCCTTAAAATTAGACACAAGCATTTTCAACTCTTGCTTGCATGAGCATTCCGTGCATGATATGTTATACAAACAATTTAACTATGCACTTCAAAAAATGCACCAATAATATATAAAAATATAACAGGGAAACTGCACTATGAAGGAAATTGATATAGTTACTTTCTGTTTCTTAATTTTATTTTCCCTCGATGCTCACATACTTCTATATATAGTCATTGGTACCCCCAAATATATTTTTAAAACTTCTACTATACCATGTTTTTGAAAGGTGTAATTTTAGTTTGCACCCCATTTTATTGTTCAAATTGGATTTTACACCCCGTTTAGATTAGTCTATAAATACGAAGTATAAAGAGTTCGAATTCAGATAACATACTAACCGAGATTGACTCTCCAAGCCTTGAGCGGGAGCAAGTCCAAACTTGTAGGCGAAATTGAATAGTTCATCCCAATTTTATTTTGAAAATAATCTTCTAGAGTCCAAAATGAGTAGAAAGTGGAAGAGATGAAGAGGTTTTTCATCTTTGGAAATAATACTCGGAATCCAGAATGAATAGGAAGGACAAGAGATAAAAAAGTGTAAGAAGCTTAAGAAACGTAAGAAGAAAGAGACTGGGCTCCTAGCATTGTAGCGGTAATTAAAACTATAGAAATTAAGCGTACTTAAGGTAATGCCTCTGCGCCTGAGCGGGGACCTCACTTAACTCACTTAGTGTGTGTGTGTGTGTGTGTGACCAGTAAGCAAGTTACATTCCCTTTCCCGAGTTACATTTTCCGCTAACTTGAGATTACAGTTCAAAGTAATGCGATTTACATTTCAAGGAAATGGTTATTGTGAGAGTATAAAATTATAATTACGGAGTATTAAAATTCAAACCTAAATGACGTCATTTTAGGTGTGAGTGTATAATGGCTGTCATGGACTGTTCTCACAGTATAACAATGAATTGATGTTCTATTTAAGTTTTATCTGGAATTATCAAAACTAGATCCCGCGTTGTGACCCCGCATTTCGGTTTATGTGCCTCATAAGCCAATCTCTTCACCAAAAACATAATTTTTTATTTCGCGGATTGAGTTGTGTAGTAATCAAATTAAGTAAGATTGAAATTACTTTTATGTTTGTATTGATTAATGTCACGGCAGAGGATCATTTTAACTATTTTTATATAATTTTTTCTTTATTGTATTAATTTAAAGGTATTTTAAATACTCCCTCGACTCAATTTGAGTTGCAAAATTAACCTCTCAGGATCAAAGTTTAGGATATCAAATTATCAATTGATCGCCAAACAGACTCATTTATTTCCTTTAATTAGAATATCTATTCTTAATCAAATTTTAATTTAGATTTAGTAACTTTATAAAATTTTTAATGTAGTTTCTGAATATGTAAATTTTAATTATTTTAAGTAAATAAAATTACTGAGGGATAAATTTTACTGTTTTGACACTGTTTGACGCTGTTTTGCACTTTTTATGTAGACAATTTGTCAAATAAGAAAATGATAAGTTTATTTTGGAAATCCAAATAAGGAGCGTGAGAACTTGTTTTTGGGAGAGAATATAATTTTTCATAATTCAAGGGAATAATTCAGTTATTTTAACTCAATTATATCCGACCCATTGGAGTGTTATCGGATTTTTGATCGGATTTTCCTAACCTAACAAACAATCAAAATTCCAATGTATGCGTCATGCGTGGGTAAAATAATCCGCAGTATTCTGTAAGCAGAATCAATTATCAAACGCACAAGTGGCACGAACGCGTCCGTGGAGCCAAACCCTTCCGTCGCCAACCCGCTCTCTCCCACCTTTCCGGCTCCGGTGCTCGTCGACGGGAAACAGAAGCGTCCTGATCTACGGTTCTTTGGACTAGTCTCCATCTAAATGTATACCTATATGTCTTTATAGTAGCAGTAAATGATGGGTTGTTTATTACCACAGATACATCGCCGACGAAGGTGGCAGTGGCGGGTGGGGATTTCCTGAAGGGAAGAAAAAGATGCTTGAAATTCCTCCCACGGATTCGACAGTCACCGCCAGCATTGCTACTGTTAAGAGATATGCACCTCCCAACCAGCGGTAAACAATGGCGTGGATTTTGTGTCCTGCATTTTAAATTCTTTACCGGTGAGTCAAAAAAAGTTTGTAAAAATCATTTTTGGTTGTTTAATTTCTTGCAGGAATCGCTGTATTGGAAGGCGCAAATCTGGTGTAGGTAAGTAACCCCATCCCGATAACCCAAGATGAGAAAGAAACATTGTGTTTATGACAAATTGACAATGAGGTGTACGTTTTAGTTGGATTCTATCCTCTAGGAATAAACTTTAGATATTGTGATGAAATGTAGGCCGCATTCATTATCAAGCTGAAAACTTTTTAACTTTTCCATGTGTCTCATGAAGTCAGGATCATTGCTTCATTGGCATTCTCTATAACCTATTACCTTCCAGCATGGGATTCATCTTTATATTTAGGATATTGCCTCGGCTAGAGCCCATTGCCCACTTTAGACAAGTTTTAGAGAAAGTAAACAATAAATAGGAGTTTGTAAAACACTAAAACCTGTATACGTCAGTATACAAGAGTAATGATATGGTTAAGGAGCAGGTTAGGGAGTAGTCCAAGATAAAGATGTTATTTGCAAGAATACCGTTCAGGTATTTAAAGGTTTGGAGTCACTCTCACTTATTGACTTGAGGAGTGAACATGGAACTATTTTACAATTCCGTGAACCATTCTCTAACCCTCTCTCTACGCATTGTATTACGCTTTACTTGAAGTCTTAAATGATCACGCATCATACTTTATTGCGTGATAATTGTTCGGGTCTTAAATTTGAAGGTTTGATCATGTCTGTTATTATTACTTAAGTGAATAAAATTTGGTAAGGTCTATGCAATGTTACTCGGGGTTGCTGATGTGGAAAGGATCTTCCGCTCATTGTAATTATAGTTTGACTTCAATGTTTGGGTTGTGTATCAGCTACTGTTTATTGGTCACTGTTGTGTCTACTGTATTTTTTGTTTTAAAAAAACCAGTACTGGCCACATAGAAATGTCTCCCTGAAATGTCTACAACTCCACATTCAATGCACCCAGCATTACTCTTTATCATAGCGCTAGGCTTGACAACGATGTGAGAACTGAGAACTATTGAAGTTAGAAGCTCATAATTTCCCTACCATTCCTCCTGATAATTCTATGTGCTGTAATGGAAACTAGATAAACACTTACTGGTAAAAACTGTAGTGCTGCATTGGGAACAAGATGAGCAGTTTATGTAACATTCCCTATTTCTCTTAATTATTTATTTTCAAAGGTAATCACTTATAAACTGGTGTGCCTGATCAGATATAATAATTTGGTTTTGCAGATCGACTTGAAAGAGCAAATAGTTATGCTAGTGATGGTGAGAAAAACCAAAACAGCATACTTAGAACCATGTCCAGTATAGATCATCATGGGGATACAGGAGGCAACTATCGCACCAATGAAGACCGTCGTTCTGGTGGAGCAGCATTAAATTTAATATCATTAAATGGGTGTTGCAACAGTGAAGTCGTTCAGTTATTGAATGATCGTACGTGTACACTTACTATATTCATTGTTCAAACTTTAAACCAGTATTGGGCTATTCATGTTTTGATTGCATTCTCACTATTTTATCATTTGAGTTTCATTTCTCAGTTTAACTCATCTTCTTGCAAATTCAAAGCACTTTTTAGGTGCTATTTTTATGAAAAAACCATTGCAGTTTAACTCACCTAATTACTTTTATGAACAAGTATATCTCCTTTGAATGTGTGCTATTTTTAGTTACACATACTAATAAACCATTTTACATCATGGACAAAACCTCAATAAAAAATGCTGTGCATCTTAAGTGTTAGCATGGATACTGAACTACGCGGTGATAAATTAATAACCATCTATTTAGTGCTTCTTACAATTTTAAAAATCAATCCTTGCAAGCCAGCTATTTGTGATACTTAGACTTGTCCCCGAACCACTCCTTGCAGTCTTAGCTACTGAATTATATTTACAAGAATGTACATATATAATGTTATTATATGGCTTATGCTAAAATATAGAAGCAGTGCCATATAAAATGTTGCACTTCACCTATTAAATTTGTAAACAATTTCCCAAAGCGTGCTTGTCTGGTCCATATATTTTGTTTGTCAATTTGTGTTGTCGAAAAAGGATAATTTTGTAACTAACTTTGCTTTGTTGTTGTAAAATCAGAATAGGCATACAAATAAGAGTAATCAAAGACACCCACTTCAAGGGTATTCTGTTAAAAGAATGTCATTTCCCTAAGCTTCCCTCTATCCCTTTCCCTACCTCCATCATGTCTATAAATAAATACAACTTTCATTTGTCATTTTCATACAGGCTGGTTGACAGCCATAAATGGGTTGTTTATACTCCATCTGCAGCCATGTTTTTGTCTTATAATGTTTTTCTATGGTTAGTCCTGCCCAAAGTGTTTTTGCCTAATTTAAATCTCAATGTGGTTATCCAATTAATCACTTCACCTTTTTAATCTCTTAAAATTATACGACTTGACACTATGAGACCCATTTAAATGGAGCACAGTTTTGAAAACATATCCCTTTTTATTTAATCTCATTAAATAAAAATAAATTTCCTTCTACTTTTTGGGACATAGGAATTAGGAAGTAGTTAGAATTGCTGATTGGTATACTATACTATACTATAGATTTTTTAGAAAGGATTTTTTTTATTGATGATTGAAATGAGAGTACAAATGATGAAAACAGTGGAAACTATGCTATAGATTTGTTAATACATAAATATAATAATAATTGTTATTATTTATCATGCTTTATACAGGCTGGGTGGCTGCCATGAGTTTGTATAATAGCTTACCTGAAGGTTCACCTGGTGAGTTGAAGAAGAAAGTCTACTTCTTGTTCCACTGTTCTGCTAACTATCTGTGTGTTGAAATTATCTCTCCTGCAAATGCATTATATTTAGGCTCCACTTGTTTCCAGGAATATAGGTTGTTTTTAGTAAATGTTTTCTGTAGAAAAACAGTCCCCGGAAATTCAATTGTTCTATGTATAGTACAATGTTTGACTCATAATAGAAAGATGAAAATGTTTCGGGAAAATGCGTTTCCGTTTTATAGAAAAATGTTTAATATTTTCTTCAAAATAATAAAGAATCTAGGTAAATATTTTTCATTAGGAATGTTCATATGCTAAGCACAAGAAAGTATTTTCTTGGAAAGTATTCCGGCAAACAAAGGAAGCCTTAAGGACTGCTGTTGTGCTTTGCTTTTTGTTTATTTACTTTTTACTATTTTTTGCTGTGATTCTTTAATCACCACATGATTACAAATTTTTAAATGGTTTCCTCAGAAAAGCCAGTCATGTACACCAGAAAAAACACATCACCTTGGAGGCTTCCCCATCAGGTATGATCTCCTACATCCCCACACCCTACATCGGCTTCCGCAAACAAAAGAGAGAGCAATAGAAACGGTGGAGAAGAGTAATAATGTTAATAATATGGAGTAACAATAATAATAAGGCTCCATTTGTATCCAGAAAAATAACTTCGTGGAAAATGTGTTTCCAGGTAGAATGTTTTCTAGGGAAAATAATTTGTTCAATACACAATATATTGTTTGACACAACATACGAAACATTATTTCTGAGTAATAAACATAAACTTATTCACTTTGAAACAATGTTTAATTTCTTCAACATTCTTTCCTTGGAAGTGTGGCTATGCGTGCAATAAGAAGGGCTTTGTTTGGACATAAACTTTTTCAGTTTGAAGCAATTTCTAATTTCTTTAACTTTCTTTCCTTAGAAGTGGCTATGCTGCCTATGCGTGTGATAAAAAGGGTTTTGTTTGGGAAAAGGAAGAAAGACGTGTTAAGCATTCTAAACTTAAGGCATCATGAAGTAACACACATTTGAGTTATTAAGCCCAACATCATTACGAAGTAAACATTTGTTTATTAAACACAGCTTATCAACACAGAATTTGATAAACACCACTTACTAGGAAGCGATGTTTTTACATTTCCTTACGTTTGATTTTTTCTGCCATTAGATGCATGGTGCAGGATTTGGGCCTTCTGCTGGGTTGCAAAGAGATTTCTTAAGCGAACTTTGGCAGGCTATGCCCAAGCAGAATTCCAGTTCTAAGTAAACAAGGCTTGAAACCTGAAATTGTCAGCATCTTAATCCTTCATAATGTGCAATTAGATGTTTATTGTAAATTACATATGCCTCGTTACTTCTGTTATTTTAAATGTATTGGGGAAAGCGGAGCTTCCTACCATTCATAACTCAATGACTGCCTCTTAATAAAACTGAAAGGCAGTGAGTGCTAGGAAATAAGGAGAGTTACTCCTCCGATCCATATTTGTCATATTTAATCATTTAATCCATTCTATACTGGTGTGCAAGGGTGTTTTCATTTTCATTTACCCCAGTGCCGCAAAGGCTCCCACCTACGGTGGGGTAAGGGGGGTCGGATGTACGCAGTCTTACCCCTGTACTAAAGCGCAGAGAGACTGTTTCCGGATGACCCGTAGTGAAAATCGCGTCCAAAATTGCATGGACTGACTGTTTCTTCATACCAAAGAAGCGCAGACAATTTAATGAACCATTTTGCTTTATTCCATCATATTCTCAAGCCAAAAAATAATGATCTTTGGTTCCATTTTGCTTTAGTGTGCAAGGGTGTTTGAAGTTCTAAAATGATTCCTCTAAAACCATCTTAAAATGATTTGGCCGTGCCTTTGAATGACAATTCAGTAAAATACTTCATACTCTTGGAAAATTTCATTGGATAAGCTAATAATCCTTGGTTTTTTTTTGGTATATTTAAAAAATGTTTAGCAATTTTGCACGTTTCGGGAAGTGCTCTGTAATTTTGGTAGTACAATTGTAAACCTAAGACTTATGTTGTCAATTTATTTATTTTCCTGGACCTGGATGCATGTTAAAATATTAGAGTATTGTACCTATAGTACATTATTTCATCCCCTTTTTATGCTTTAGCTACTCAAATACTCGATTGTAACAATCCTAACGTATACACATGGCCACATGGGTAAAGTATGAAAGTATAATACAATTTGCTGTCTGGTACTATGGAAGAGTAATATAGAATGTTTGCGGTTGCTTTTACTTTTGAAAAGTCATTCATTTTGGATGTTATATGAAAAGCGATTAATAGTAAAAGATGGTAGTATCTAGGAGTGGACTCGGGTTGGGCCGCCCGGCCCGGAACCGGACCAGCCCGGTACTGTTTGGGCCTGTCCTGGCCCGGTACCCGGTCTTGGGGCCGGTTCGGGCAACCGGAACCGCTCAACTCCCGGTGCGGGCTCGGTTCCTCCTAAAATGTGAACTGGTCCGGCCAGTTCGGGCCATTTTTTTCATTTTTTTTGTTTCTACCGGGTTGGGTTGGGTGTATGGGGGGGGGGGGGGGTAACAGGGGGGATCGGGGGTTAGTTTGAAAATCAAAAGAAAAAAAATTAACATTGAACCGGAACTGGCCCAGCCCGGCCTGGAACCGCTGCCTACCTGGGCCGGTTTTGGTTCACCCTTCCCAAAGAAAAAGCCCGGCCGGGCCCAGACCCGAACCGGAACCGGCTCGGGTCCATCCCTTGTAGTTGGGGTGGATTCAGGGCGGGCCGGCGGTTTGGTGGACCCGGGACCAGCCCGGGTAGCCACCGGGTCCGGTCTGGGCCGGGCCTCCGTTTTTTTTTTGCTTTCCTAACCTCCCCGCCCCCCCACCCCCACCCCAAAAAAAAAAAAAAAAAAATTGGCCCGGGGCCGGGCCCGACCCGGGCGGTTCGCCAAATGTAAGACCCGAGCCCGGATCCGCCCCCCGGGCCTAGGCCCGACCCGGACCCGAGAACCGGGCCGGTCCGGTCCACGGGCCGGGTGGCCCGACCGGAATCCACCCCTACCTAGTAGTATCCTAGAAAAGAAATTTGAAAAAGTAAAAGTTTGGTAAAAATATTTGTGTAATAGAAAGGATAAAAAAGTACTATATTTTACAGCACATCAACATTTACTTTCAGTTTTTAGCTGGAAATCACTATTATGAAACCTTTTAAAAATTAATACTCCGTAGCTGGAAAACATTTTTTAAACAACCCAAAAACTCCTCTGATACTCTTCAGCGTGCGCCGCGTGCCTCACAATTACCTGTGGTCCATCAATTAATATAAATTTTTTAAGACTATTTTCATGGTAAAAACTAAAAAGTAAAAACTTCATCAAGTACTGTGGTCAAACACCCAGGACAACACTCAAGCATAGCTAATTATTTTTTTAATATAAGTCTAGTAATCAAATTCGATTTAAGTGCAATAAAAGATGGCCATAATTTTCTATTAAATCAAAGTGTAGTATTCCAATTTCCAATATATGCGTTAAGTGTATTATATTATTTATATTACTGGGCGATTATTTTTTTACACGGTAACTAAAAAATTAATAATCCTAATGGTATTAACCCAGCTTGCATTGGACCACGGTACAGGTTGCCTCCCCTCCTCTGCCCCTACCCCTGATGTTACCCACATGCCAAAGACTTGCAGTATTTGCCAAGATGAATTGGAGCATGGCAGAGCAACCCGCACAAATACAACCAAATAGAGAAGTGCACACCAAGCTTGTTTGGTGCACAAAAAATTGCATATCATAAAGAACTTTACACAATCATGATGATGAAGACATGCAGAAAGGTTTATACTTCAAATGTCAGTACCACAATATACACGAAAATAGGAATACAAAACATTTTAAGGTGTCTGCCTGTCTGTTTACAGTTTTACACACAAAAGGAGATGCCTTCCAAAGATTGTTACTTCTTAAACCTGGTTGCTTTAAAAATGTTATCCTTGTAGTACTTGAGTTCTGCTATGCTCTCCTTGATGTCATCCATAGCTCTATGTTTGTTTTCTTTGCGAGGAGCCCTTTTGTTGTCTGTATGGAAAACAAGACAGCATTAAATACTAGTGCATAAACAACCAATCAACTACTAGTAAAACTGTAAACAATCCAATTATCCAATTATCCACTATCCACCCCATCCATTTGACGGTACATTCATTCACTAATCTATTCATTTTAAAAAAACATGATAATGGAATAGGTCCAATCAACATTGGTATTATACAGTTTTATTATGTAATCCATTGGATTGGAGTAAAACTATTCATGTTTTGGATTTGACTAGGCACGGGTTTTAGTGAACCAAAACGCAAAGCATGAAAGTTTTAAGTGGCAAAGGGAGTGGGTATCAGTATAGCTTTGTTCAAGCATCAATATGTGCATTGCTTAATGATCTCTACCTATGAAAAATAACAAGAAAATGGATGGGTTGGAAATCCATGAGTTGAAAAATGGTTAATAGATGGAGTGGATGGATTTTGTCAAATGGATTGTGGACGGTGGGACTGTATAACAAATCTTTAATAGATAACAAATGCATTGCTGGATTTTTGTTTTAATCCACCTATAATGGTCTGAATAAAATTTTATTCAATTCATCCATTTGATAAGTCTGGTTAATAATGATAGGAATTCACCTCTGGGGAACCAACGTAGGCATAATGCCTTGACACTGCTCACGTCAACAAGTACATGTGAGAAAAGATTAGCCAGGTCCGGCATGTACTTCTGCCATCCATATGAAAAAAGAAAAAAGAAAAGAGCAAATTAGATATATCCTGTTTCACGCTTAAACTGCGATTTCATCTAGAAGCTTACGATTGCAGTCTTGAACTAAGAACTATATTCTTTACATCTGTATAAAATTTCTAGATGATATTCTTAACGAGTACAAATCAGATAGTACAAAATTTACACATACCTTCATGAACTGAAAATCAACATAAACTGAATTCCCTGCCAGGAGTGGTGAGTATGTTGTCCCGATGTTTCTCTTCACAAACTCAATAACCTATGGCATAAAACAAGTCAGTAAATTATAAACCAGTACAAGCGGTGTATATATGTGTTTACAACAACATCATCATTAACCAGTACAGACAGTGTGTATATGTGTTTAAGGGGAAAAAAATTAAAGGCGATCAATGTAGTATGTAACAATGTTTCCATTTGTTTGGTTATTGGTGTCACAGAAATGAAAGGCTAAAGGGTCAAATAGGTACATGAACTAACTTAAAGTGTTCAATTAGCCCCTTATATAGGAGGTTCTGCCCGGCCGTCGTCAATTGGGGCGGTTTTTGGTGGAATTTTTTGATGAAATTTTTTGAGCATCTTCTTCATTAAGTCTAGTTTACCCATATCAAATTTCAGCTAAAAATTAAATCGGGAAGGCAGTCAAATGATTTTCCGAAATGTACTGCGCTCTTTAACTATGCAGTTATCTTCAAAAAATCATTTGACTGCCTTCCCGATTGAATTTTTAGCTGAAATTTGGTATGGGTAAACTAGACTTAATGATGAAGATGCTCAAAAAATTTCATCAAAAAATTTCACCGGGAACCACCCCAATTGGCGACGGCCGGGCAGAACATCCTATATAAGGGGCTAATTGAACACTTTAAGTTAGTTCATGTACCTATTTGACCCTTTAGCCGAAATGAAATAACAGAGCTTGCCAGTTCAATACTCGGTGTGGCCAAATATACCTGCTTCTCAGCTTCTTCAATCGATATTGTACTCTCAAGCACCTTTCCAGTCAGACCTACATTAGGTTAAGCAGCTTATTTGCATAAAATCATCCAGGCTTACATATCTCAGGAACACTGCAAAATATGAAAGTTGGGACTTGGGAGAATAGAGGATGTTGAAAACAAATACTCCATCCCCGAAAAAGAGTCATGCTTCAAAAGCTTTTTGTGCCCAAAAAGAGTCCTATTTGATCAAACAAATCTACATTTCATACTATTTTCCAAAAAGAGTTACAAACTCATAAAATATGATAAACATAGGACAGTAATTAATAAAATATGGGCACCATATCATGAAATTTAAGAGTTATATCAAGTTAAATTTGGAGGGCGTATATTGCCCAAGCATGACTTTTTTGGGGGGAATGGGGTAGAAGGTATCCTTAGTGGGGGACACATATTACAAATACACACACGCACACACAGGAATCGGTCAAGCGGCTTACCACTTGCTCCATGATGTTCTTGGCACCACTCTCCCATATTATCCAAACACTCCTTTGGTTGACTAATGACTATATCAGGTCCCTGTTTTTGCACACCATGGTATGTGAAGAAATATGGCCTAAGGTCCATGGCTTAGTTTACATAAAGTAGTGCACAACTGCACATTTGATGCAATAGACAGAAAATAGGATTCTAATCAAGTGCAGGGAGCATCAAGTGTAAAAAAAGCGATGGATAGTAAGTAAGAAAGAATTTGTCTCATGGAATTGGCTTATGAAAGTATGAGGAATGCATCTCTGTCTTTCAGATAGTGAGATAACTAAAGGCATGATATTGGTAAGTTTCGTATTCACAAGCAACATATGAGTAGCTTCAATTGAGTTTCCCCCATAGCTTTCAAGTACAAATATCAACTTTTGTTTACCAAACATTGCATATAATAAATACTCCAAATATTAGCATGACAAATCTGTATATAGAAAAGGGGTGAGAACACGAAGAGAATATCATAAATTACCTCAATTAATTTGGTCAAGCTTCCATCAGTGATCACACAAGCAATCTCCAATATAGTATCCACCTCAACATTCAAACCTACACGGGCAGCAATCTGAACATGAGACCTATACATACAAAGTTTGACTATGGACTTAAAATCAGTCACCCATTAAATGTTAGATAAAAGAAATCATGCAATGAAGAGAATCTGTTATAGTAAAATTGTTTTCTGTTTCTTCTAGCAACTAGCAACATAATTTATTACGGAGTATCTATATATATATGGTACTTTTGAAAACTGAAATATAATGAAGATGGAATAATACATTAGAAGACCTAGCAGAGTTTCTAAAATCAATATTAGCATAGACCAAGACAATGATGAACAGACAAATGTCCAAATAGATCAAAGGAAGCAATACTTGATCAGTTCCGGCGTAGTATTACATGAATAAACACGCCATGTGTAGATAACCATTACCAGTCATTTCAAGATCAATCCATACAAGTGGCAGCCTGTACTCTTCAGAAGCATATTCCACCTTCTCCCCTTCATCGTCTTTCCCTGTACAATTCACATACAGTTGTTGACTTCTTGTACAAGAAAACATTAAGAAACTCCGAATCTCAATTTTTAATTTTTCAATACGCAATCATCTTAGGATTTTTTCAATTTGACAAAGGCAGAATGCGCAATTAGCAAGTTGTGTGACTTCATTTCAACTCCTTCCGAATTTCAACAAATCCCTCACCATTTCCTTCGGGAGCTACTTCTGTCTCTTCTTGGCTATCCGCAACGTCCAAACTAAGCATTGTAAATGCATTCGAGAGTTGATTCATTTTCAAGGAAGTAGTAGGAAGCTCCGGTACGGCGCTTAGTCGCGTTTGGGCGCGCCAGAATCGGCCTGAGGACGGTGGCGGCGCGGGGACGCCTACAAACCGTTTCCGGTACGCTCTGCAACAAGAAGATTCGAGCGGAATTTGGGGGGAGGATATGGAGAAAATTAGGGGCGCTTCGGGTTCGGGTCGGAACACTCCCCACATTTTTATAATTTATTTATTTATAGAAAATGAACCTCTTTAATTTTTGAGAGTTCCAACTTACTGTCGTGTTCACTATTTTTGCCGTCTTCCATTGTTAATTTCACACAGTCTATTTTTTTTTTACCTAAGGGAATAGAGGATCATTTAGTTGATAATTTCTTTTCAAACTCATGTCCTAATGACTTGAATTCAATAGATCAATTAAGTGCTTTTGGTTTTTTCGAAAAAAGTACTTATTTTACCAAACAATACTAACTTTTACTTTCTCGGTTTTCGTGTAGAATCTACCTTTTACTTTTTCTATTACACAAAAAACACTTATTTTCCCAAATACTACCAACTTTTATTACTAATCACTTTTTCCAAAAAAGTGCTTTTATTTAAGCACAATCACTTGCAAACAGAGCCTTAAATGACTCTCAATTATCAATCTAAAAAGTGATTGTACATGTCAATGCAAGTGATTTTAATATACCACCATACTACCCACTATTTATGAAGGCATATTTAACAAAAATAATAACAGTATCAATATAATAAGAACAATTTCAAATAGTTTTTCGTGACAATAATTCTTGACTTTTAATCACTTCCAAAGACATGATGTAAACAAGTGTGCAAATGTTTAAAGTACAAAGTGGATACTTAACGAACAAAAATGCACTCTCAGTGCTAAAAAAATTGTTGAATTTTTCTACTTGTGCACCTTTTATTTTGTATTGTGATGAACTTTTGTGTTTTACATGTGCACTTTTTGTATTTTCTAATAGACATTTGTTACGACATTTTTATTAAAACTTCATAATCGTGTTTCTAACTTAAAAGTTGATGTATTACATCCAAATAAGTTTTAATATTTCACCTATGAAGCATTTTTTATTTGAATCAAACTCTAGTGTAGTATATGCAAAAACTCTACGTGTCACTATTAGTTCAGAAATGAGACGAGCTAAGATATTTTAACTCAATAAATCTATTGGTACACATTTTTCATACACGCACCTAAATACTCATGTTTGTGAAGAGTATTTTTTTGTCTGTATACAGACATAACGTATTCTCAAATATGTTATGTCTGTATACAGACAAAAAATACTCTTCACAAACATGAGTGTGTAGGTGTGTATGAAAATATGTACCTCAAACTGGATTGATTTTAACTTGCCTCTAATTATCAATTAAAGAATATTACTAGAAAGCCTTAGATAAAAAGGATCGTTTTTACTGTAATAAGTGAAATAAATCGATTGTTCTTATGTAATTGGTTAAATTAAATCCAGATTTACCTCCTTGGGATTTTGTTAGCTTTTCACATGACCAATGCATGGGTTGAGGGTCACGATCTTCTTGTGGGGTGCTGACAAAAGCATTTCGGTTTATTACAAAAGTACCAACATATTCCGGATAAGTTTCAGATAAGATAAACATATTTTCTGGAAACCCCACCCATTTCTCCCTCTTCTTCCCGTCTTCAATCTTTTTTTTTTCTTTGCTCATCAAATCATCTTTGGGGTAAGTTTCTTGCAACACCCTATCATTTTTCCTACTTATGCCTCTATGCTTCTAATTTTTCTTTCAAATTTTGCCCTTTCTTTTCCCCCAAGTGATTAGTTCCAGTGGGATAAACTGAAACAGAGCAGTCTGTGGTTTGATTATATATTTGTTTGTTTATTTTTGCTTGTAGTCTTTTTGTGCTTCTGTACATGATCTCTTGTGCTAGATTTGGAAGTTGTTTTATGCCTTGTGCAAGATACTGAGCAGAGTAGTTAGATTCCTTTTGTTATTTTTTAAAAAACCGATAACACATACCAGTAAAAGAATAGCAATAGTTGTAATCATAAGTCATAACAATAATGATTTTCCAAAAGTATTACCATTAGTTTACTCCTATATTAGCAATCAGGCTGTATGTTTTGAAATTAGGCCAATTTATAGAGTTACATATACAGATATACTACATAAGTCATACTAGAATACTACAGTCCTACTGTTCTAGAGCTGATTGAACTAGTACTTTTTTACAAAGACTTACATTTTAAAGAATCACTCATCTTGATTAAAAAGTTTAAATCTTGACAGTTTTTTTTGTTTTACTTTTTATATCTGACCTTCCCCTTTTAACTCCTTGGAATGAAAAGGGTCTTAGAGATCCTGCATAATCCCATGCAGTAGAGTAGTAGACCTAGTATGGCACATAGTTTACAATTTTACATAGACCAAATCACACTGAAAGGCAGAATCCAATACATTAGTTACTCTAATCATATGTATAGTTGTGTCATCATTTGACTGGTGTATTTCATGTGTGGTTTGAAGAATACACTAGTAGTGTTAGACTGTTAGTTGATTGACTTCTCTAGAGTAATACTTTTTCAAATAAAAAGATAATTTTTGTTTGTTTGAGTTTACTTATCCAAAATGAATCTTGTTTCTCTTTGTAGCTAAAATGCTCAGAGGAATTCAAGCACTCCTTTCTCATGGAAGTGTACTGAAGACGGCTGCCTTAAGACATGTCCGTTTGGGCAATCCAGTGATGAATCGGCCACTCATGTTTGCCCGTCACGAGTCAACTTCAGCTGCCCGGATGGAAGAGCACGGGTTTGAAAGCACCACTATTTCTGACATTTTGAAATCCAAGGGCAAAGGTGCAGATGGGTCATGGCTGTGGTGTACTACAGATGATTCTGTCTATGATGCCGTCAAGTCGGTGAGCCGCCTTTCTTTATGCAGATAAGACTCCTTGCCAAAAAACAGTTACACAGGTTTCTTATGATGAGTTTTGCTAACCTTAAAAATATGATTGTAGATTAAATTATGATTAGTGATAGCTAAACCAAAAGTTAAATACCGTGCCTTGTCAAACATGACTCTCTTTTAAAGAAGGTAGTAATGCTTCGTTATGGGCGCAACATCTTTGTCATTGATCAAAGCATGATTGAAAAACTGTGTCTTGGTCAATGTTGGTGATGTCAAAGGATCTGTCATGTCAATATATCAACATGTTGCTAATTTTTATTGGCTTAATCTATAGATGAGGTGCTGTGGTAACTGAATTTGCCTAGGAATTACTCGAATATGTAGAAATATGCGAAAAACTGTTTAAAGTTTTGGTGTGCAGATGACTCAGCACAATGTAGGAGCATTGGTTGTGGTTAAACCAGGGGAAGAGAAATCAATTGCTGGTATTATCACTGAAAGAGGTAACTAATTACATGTGGGGGAAGTGGAATGATAAACCATGATGAAAAAAATTGTGTGAGAGACATGAACCACTTGTGATATGTTATTTAAGATTGACAATGTTCGTGTAATGTTATTATTTAAAAGAGCTTCTGTATAGAGACCATGTGTGCATTTTTCATTCTGAGTGTTTTTTTCCTACACCAGATTACCTCAGGAAAATCATAGTACAGGGAAGATCATCAAAATCAACAAAGGTTGGGGACATTATGACAGAAGAGGTACACTTAATATGCTGTTTTTTTTTGCCAACCAAACAGTGAAATACTCTTTGTAGACAGCAAACACGGAGTAATGACTAATGATAACCATTTTCCATAAATGCTCATCTTTGTTTTTGTTTCTGGTAGAATAAGCTCATTACTGTCACGCCTCATACCAAGGTTCTGAAAGCCATGCAGCTAATGACAGGTAAGAGTTCATTTTTGACCCCCCTGCAATCCATGCTAGCAGAAACCGCTAGGTGCCCATGTCGTGTTAAATATGCCCTTATGGCCCATTAAGCTACACAAAAATGGACTGTGTCGTTGCTATTGAATTTTGTAAAAGTTCGCATAATTGTGAGCCACAAAATATTGTCAAAAATGATACGGGACGGACATTTTCGGACTGCCTTAAAACTTATAAGGAAAGGGGATGGAGAAAACAGGACGGGTGGAGTAATATATATATATAGATTAATAGTACTTCCTCTAGCCCAAAAAAAGGTTCATGCTTTCATTTTTTTCCCTCCCAAAAATTTAAGGAAATAATTTTGTGGTTCTTATTATTATTTTCTCTTCTAAAAACAATTTCAACCATTTAGTTCTAGTTTTCTTAATAAGAGTGTCCATGTCAAATTAGGAACATTATTTTTGTACATAGAGTGTGTAACTTATGTGTAGTTTTTGTATGAAAATACCATAGAAAAACTAGAATGATCAGCATTAGCTTGGTGGGCAAAGGCACTTAGGCAGCCCAACAACACCTAAAAAGTGATGATTTTGAAGTTCCTTCTGTAGCATAAAAGGACTTATCCACTAGGCCGCTGTTTATGCTGATTTTTACAGACCACCTTGCATCTATAAATTATTTTTGTGTTTTATGGCTGTTATCAAGTCATTTTAGAAAAACTTGCCAATTAGTCCATATGGGCACACAATGTGCAAACATTACAAACTGTGGGCATAAACCTGTGTGGGTCCCATGCATTTATATATTTATATATCTAATGTGGTACATGGGCTCCTAATATGATTATGCAAACGGCGGGGACTTGTTGCAGATAACCGTATAAGGCACATCCCAGTGATTAATGACTCGGGAATGGTGGGGATGGTGTCGATCGGAGATGTTGTTCGTGCAGTGGTGAGTGAGCATAGGAATGAGCTGAACAGGCTGAATGAATTCATTCAAGGAGGCTACTAGTTGCTGTTGATGATGACGATAATCAATCCATGCTGCGTAATAAACTGACCATGAGATACAAATAAGGCTCTGATGTTTGCAACTCAGGTTGAGAACATGTGTGTGTGTAAATAGTGTTCATGTGGTCTTTCGCAGAATGGTGCTGGCTTGCAGATTCAGCCAATTGATCTTTATTAAACTAATGCAATCTGTAGTGTATTACATTTTGAACTATATGTTCATTTCCCCTTGTTTTGATTTATAATGCCATTATCATGAGTAGCGATCCTGAATTCGCCGTCCGGCCGTGGCCATCCGAGGCCCTTCTCGGTGGAATTTTTTGATGAATTTTTTGAGCATGTTCCCCATCAAGTCTAGTTTATCCATCCAAATTTCATCTAAAACTTCAATCGGGAAGGCACTCAAATAAATGTTCTACAAAAACTGCACTTTAAATATACATAAACTGCGCAGTTTTGGTAGAGAATTTATTTCACTGCCTTCCCGATTGAACTTTTAACTGAAATTCGGTATGAACAAACTAGACTTGATGAGGGACATGCTAAAAAATTTCATCAAAAAAATCCACCGGAAAGGGCCTTTGATGGCCTCGGCCTGACGGCGGTTCCTGTCAGGCCGGCCTGATATGATCTTTCCTCAAATATAGTATCAGCAATTGAATGTCCAACATATCACAAATGAGTTCTACTTTGAAATGAACAAGAAGAATTTTCTTTCAAATATGGCTTACAAGAATCTGTAAGATGGCTTAACTTTTATAGAACATGAAACTTTTATTGGATTCAAGATTTTGAACCACGGAGCCTAAAACTGTTCAATATCCTATGCTTCATTCTTACATTTGTATGTGTTGTGCTACTTTTGAGCTCATAGCTATTAGGTTGCACTCGATTCTCTTAAATACATAAACCATAAAGTTTATCAAGTTCATATATTATATCACAAAACAACATATATAGTATGGGAATTATTTAAACACTAGTTGTATTGGGCATAATCCATTTGTATAGAACTCTAATATCCTAATTAGTCATTATTATAGCTATATACGATACGATAGTATAAGTTATAGAAAACACTAGTTGTATTAGACATAATGTTTGATATCGTAGAGACTCTAGTTGTACTTACCATAGCTCATCTTGTATAGGAAACTCTAATTAGAGCTACGAACATAAACATCTATAGAGTGTTTGATATTTGCGAAACCTTAGTTTTATTGAACATAACACATCCTGTATAGGAAATCACAATTATAGTTTTTTTAATGGAAATTGTTTATATTGAATTTTATAAATCACGTTCATTACAATAGATTCAAGGTAATACAATTCCCAAACAAAATTTCGATGATTAGACTTAGGCTCAGCCACCCATAAACGAATTGGAAAAGTCTTTAACCGTGTAACAAACAAATGAAAGCTTAAATTGATCACGTACGATCTTTATGCTCCTAACCTTATATGAAAACCCCACAACTTCTCTAAAAAGACAAAACAAATGAACAACAAATAACAATACAAAGTGCATAAATAAGCGGAGTTTTAAATACAGTTGAAACTAGTAATCAATGTCCAATCATGTAGCACTCTTCTCCAGCCTGATTCATCTGAACTTGCAAATATGTCGCATATGACAGAATACCAATGACTTTAATTCCGATCTGAAGTGCACCAACATGATAAAAATATAGAATCACATTTTCAATCAATGGTGGTGGTTTAGAAGGGATATTAGCCATAGATACTATCATAGACAATTTGAGAAAAAAATATGACCTTCGAAAAACATATATCTAGGATTGGAAGAGTGCCTCCCCAATAGCAATAGAACAATAGCATAACATCATATAGCAACTCACATCGCTATTTTGAATAGACATCATTTATACAATGACTATAAAAAATTACAGGACTATAAAAACCTTAGACACATTAGGAAACAAATCACCGCTCATACGAGCTCCAAACCACTTTTAGACATTTTAAGCAACGAAAAGATGAAAGTAACACTTCAAGAAGATTTACGTTAATGGCAACACTAGGATTTTTTGTCGCCCCATGATTGCCGGAGAATACTTGAAAATCGTTTCTCGCAAGTCGGCCCTAATTATAGTCATAAATAAAACTATTTATATAGTGTTTAATGTAAAAATCATCACGTTAAAACGGTTCATGTTGTCATACGTTCACATAAAATACAAAAGAATGTCGATATATTATGTACTACATGCATTTTGTTATTTTTTTTTGTAATTAGTCATTTACACGTCTTTTTTACCTGAATGGACCTGTATCATATCACAAGTCCGCCCATGTTTTAACTGGAAGGGTAGGTGGACAAATTTGTATGTACAGACTTGCCCATTTATAAGGGCATAGCCCCAGCCCAGCCCGTTTTTGTACAGATATACATACAGAGGCTTTTATTCATTTTGAACATATAAATATAGGGCGGAAAATATCAGGCCCAGCCCTCCCCTGTCCAGCCGCCGTCCGAACTCTGCCGTTTGGGGTGGTTCCCGTTGGAATTTTTTGATGAAATATTTTGAGCATGTTCTTCATCAAGTCTAGTTTGTCCATGCCAAATTTCAGATCAAAATTCAATCGGGAAGACATTCAAATCATTTTTTTAAGTTGACTGTGTTTTTATATGTATATTTTGGCGCAGTCAATTTCAAAAAATGATTTGAATGGCTTCCCGGTCGAATTTTAAGCTGAAATTTGATATAAACAAACTATTTGTGAGGAACATGCTTCAAAAAATTCCAACTGGAGGGAGTTCGGACGGCGCCTATCTCATTCACCAATCTCATTCTTTCCCGCGTAAACTAGCTTGGCATTCCTCATCAGCCGAAGCTCATCTGGCCCACGCTCTCACTGCGCAGCGGTTCTCCCGCACATCTCTCAAGGCCAAAGGTAGTAACTTTAAGTGAATGAATTTGGTAAATATTTGGAAAATTTAGAACTCATCTGCTAGATTTGTAACCGCCTTATTGTTTTCGTCTGGTTGCTTTAGGGTGTTTGGAATAGATTCTGTATCAGAAGCTTCTAAAAAAAACTGATTCTAGGAGTAAAAGCAATTTTAAGAATTAGATCCAAACACCTTTATTCCGAAATGCTTAATCTGCTCGTATTTTTTAGATTAGGGTGACTGAATCACAGGTCCATGTCATTTTCATCTTTAATATGGAATGTTGTTCTTGCTCTCTGAGACTCCATAATTATCCAAGGGCAGACTGCGTTGTTTAACTGGTGCTTCCCTGAAGCATGTTTTGCGTGTTTTTTGCGGGATTACTTGCATAGTTTCTTTTTATTCCAAAATTAGATGGAGTATCGTCTGCTTTTCGTAAATTAGGAATTCTTAAATTGGAATCTGCTTATAAACGCATAACTTAGTTGTAGTCTGTAGAAAGAACTTATACTAGAACTTGTTTAGCTCTTACCAATTAATTAGTTCTGGTTTAATTTTCAGCAGGTAATGAAATAGACTTGTGATGAAAAAGGCCTCACTAAATATGGAGAAGCATCCTAAACTTGTGCAATCTCATGGAAGTGACAACTATGAATCGGGTGATATAGATGCAAACAAGTGTATCCGCAAGCAGAAAGGGCCAAGGCAAGAAGAAGGTCCAATTTATGCTGGAAGTAGTTATGCTAAAAAACTCAAGAAACCTAAACAAGCCAAAAGTGAAGAAGAATTTTTTATTCACGAGTCTTGTAAGAAGGAATCAAGAGATAAAGTTTGTGAAGCTATATCCCAGTGGGTATGTGATGCATCTATTCCATTTGACGCTGTTAATTATGCTAGCTTTAGAACAATGATGGATTCTATGGGAAGATGTGGTGTGAGTATAAAACCACCTAGTTATCGTGAGATGTGGGGTCCTCTTTTGAGTAAGGAAGCTAATGATATGTTAGATTTGATTGATTCTCCTGAAGAAGATTGGGCCAGATATGGTTGCTCTCTTCGGGTAGATGAACGGACATATCAGGATGAAAGAACTATTGTTAATTTCTTGGTCAGTTCACCTAAAGGAACACATTTTCTTCAATCTGTTGATGCCTCCGATCTTTCAAAATATGGAGAGGCAATGTTTCACTTGATCGATTTCTTTATAGAGCGCATTGGGGAAACAAAAGTTATTCAAGTGGTTACTGATGATGCCACTAGCAATGTACTTGCTGGTATGAGATCTTCTTTTTAAAATATTAGCTTGCTTGCCCCTGTTTTTACTTTTTGATAAAATCATGATCTATGTCATGTTTTAATATTCTCAAGAATAAGATAGTCTCTTCCAAAGAGCTCTTAATCCTCCACATTACCTGAGAGCTCTTTTGGAGTTCAAGAACATCCCACCTGATCCTTAACACGGTTCAAAGCCAGTTCAGCTGGTAGCCACGTTGCACTATACAAGGTTTTTCGACCGTGATGGCGTGTTGAGCGGTGTCATGTATTTGCTGACTATGAAATATTCAATTCTTTAATAAGCATTGAACAATTCTTAATATGCGTAGCCATATTCTTAACAGATACGGTATTTCTTTTGCTTTGTTCTTTTAGGAAAGCTATTAGAAGAAAAAAGGTCGCACTTATGTTGGAGCCCCTGTGTTGGTCATTCTATCAATTTGATGTTAAAAGACATTGTAAAATTGTCCGAATTTGTTAGGACATTAAAGCGGGCCATGAGATTGAACGCATATGTTTACTATCATCCATTTTTAACAAATTTATTGAAGTGTCACTGTGGTAAAACAACTCTTGTCCGAGGTGGTGTGACAATATTTGCTACTATTTATCTCACTCTCTGGCATATACATAAACTGAAGAATAAGTTGAGGCAAATGTTCCTATCAGATGATTGGAGAAACAGTAAGTGGAAAAAAGAACGTGTTGGCAAGAAATTAGCAAGGACTGTTTGGTTCCATTGGTTTTGGAACAATGTTGTCTATATGTTAAGGATATTTCGTCCTTTAGTTCGTGTGCTTCGTTTGGTCAGTAGTGATAAAAAGCCTGCAATGGGGGTATATTTATGAGGCCATGGACCATGCTAAAGAAGCTATTGCGACAGCTTTTGATGGAAAAGTGGAAAGGTACAAGGAAGTAATCAAAATCATTGATGATAGATGGAGGAGTCATGTTAATAGTCCTTTGCATGCTGCTGGATATTATCTGAATCCCGAGTTCTTTTATTCACAAGATAAAACAAAACCTAAATATGAGGAGATTCTTATTGGTTTTTATCAAACTTTGGAAAAGTTGGTCCCTTCTGATGAACAAAACAAGATCCTAGAACAATTGCCTTTATATCAAAATGCAGAGAAACTTTTTGGGCAACAAATTGTTATTCGGCAGAGAAACATAATGTCTCCAGGTAAATTGTTTTATGTGTTTTTTAAAGTTTTTTTTGGAATATGCTACATAAGTCATTCTTAGGATATTGCATCACATATATATGATGTAATTATATTGACAGTTTCATGGTGGAGTTTGTTTGGTGCCTCAGCTCCAAACTTGTAAAGGTTTGCAATCAAAGTGCTTAGCCTCACTTGCAGTGCGTCTGGCTTTCAGCCTGATTGGAGCATCTTTGAGCATGTAAGTAATTAAACATAATAGTTTAGGTGTCATTTTGAATTTTGCTCCTATGTTCCATTTTTGTTTGCACTTTTTTGTAAACAGACACAAGAAAATGTCACCATGTTCAACAGTTAAGTTTTCCCTGTTTCTCAAAGCAAAAGCATAATCTTAATAATTATCAAGAACATGGATTGTTTCTTTTAGGGAGTAATTATTACCATTTCAAGTTTTTTCCTATAATATTAATGAGGGGTGGGGAGAAGAGGCAGGGAGGGGAAGACGCAAACAGACTTGGATTAGAGTAATCAGAACTGATATGCGTCTACTTGGGTTGGATGAGAGCATGCTTTGGAAAGAGCAAAGTGGAGGGCGCACATCCGTTGGGACGATCCATGTCTTTTCTATCTTTCCTCTCTTGTTTTCTTTTATCGTTGATCTTTTTTATCCTTTTATGTTATTATGTTAATTTTATCTTCTAGCTTTTTATGCTTTTTTAGTTTTCATCTTTTATCTTTCTTATATTCTCATGCTATTATTATCTTATATTTATTTATCTTTATTTTATGGGTTTTTTACGAGAATATTACTAAAATAAAACTTATTTACATAAATATGACTATTCATTACTACAATGTAGTGCTGTGGTAACTAAAGTTCAAAACTTGAACATGAATTACTATGATTTCATTACTACTCTAGTAATGAATCATATTTTTGTAAACCATCTTTATTTTGGTCATATTTATGTAATTATTTCTTATTTTATCCGTTTTATCTTATTTCTTTTCTTCTTGTCAGTTTTCTCTTTTTGACATCGATATCGTGGATTGATTCATGTTAGCCGACCCTAAATTCTTTTGGGATTAAGACTTGGATGTTGTTGTTTGTTGTTGTATTACTGAAAACTCATGGATAAAAATATGACTACATAATTACTAGATCATAAAGTGGACATCATTATGATGACTACCGTCATTGTGAAAATGCCATTTTGTCACCATTACTATCATTGTAGTAGTATATTTGTCATTTTTTCTTTTTAAAACCATGTTTATGAATTAGATGCTGTTTATAAAAATATTATAAAATGCTAGCATAAATGGATAATCTCTAAATAAATAATGCATACGTCAACAGGTTGTGTTTGTAATACTCAAATCAGTAATCCAAACATGACATTCGTTTAACAATAATGGATATAGTAATTTAAATTATACTCCCGTCCCGCAAAATAGCTCATGGTTTCATTTTTGGGCCGTCCAAGGTAGTCAAAGGCGTTAGGCGCACTCAAGGCGACGAGGTAATCCTAGCGCCTGAGGCGCAAGGCGCAAAAAAGTGCTCGCCTGACTCGTGTCAGGCGCAATGCTTAGAAAAAATAACACATACTACTCTCCAACAATCAAAGATGATGTACCAGTTCACCATATTGAAGGAAATACATTAAAAAGTCATGTTTCTTACAAATAAAGTCATGCTTCACCAAAATAAAGTCACGATTGACCAAAATAAAGTCACGATTAAGTGATTAACCAAAATAAAGTCATGACTCATGATTCACTTAAAGTCTTAAACACTAAAACTAGAAAATAAAACATAATTAGATTTTAGTTTTGCCCTGTATATTCCCCCATTTGTTTCCTTTCCACAGTAGATGCAAGTTACTGCATTTTGATTGTTTGGGTAAGCACAGTAATTGTGTTTCCAAGCCGGGTCATTTTTTGTTGACTTAGCAGCTTCAGAAGCCGTGGCTGAAGTTCCACCTTCCATGTCGTGTAAAAATTACACAAGCCAGATACTATATATGCAATATATAAAAAAAATTACTTATTAACTGAAACATACTAACTGTAAAAAAATATTAAGTTACTAACTGAATCATACTAACAGATAACATACATGCTTTATAGGTCCTCCCCTGGCAGGCGCATTACTCAAACTTATGTTTCAGCTATTGATAAAAATAGCATACATGCTTTATAACATACTAACTGAAACATACTTACATACATGCTTTATAGGTCCTCCCCTGGCAGGCACATTACTCAAACTTATGTTTCAGCTATTCATAAAAATAGCATACATGCTTTATAGCTATTTATAGGCATTACTCAAACTGGTAAAACATACATGCTTTATAGGTCCTCCCCTAACTAAAACATACATGCTTTATAGGTCCTCCCATAAGCATTACTAACTGATAAACATGCTGAAACATACTAAAAAGTAAAAAAAAAAATGAACTGACTAACTCAAACATACATGCTGAAACATACTGATGAACTGAAAAAAGTTTATTGAACAAGAACAATAAGTTTACCATGCTGAAACATACATGAACAAAAAAAATGAACTGACTAACTAAAACATACATGCTGAAACATACATGTTCAAGTTGTTTAGACATGCTGGAGGTTGTTTTTACATGTTTAAGTTGTTTATACATGTTTTACACATGTACTTTACACTGTACACGTACATACACAAAAAGAAGTAGCTGCTGAAAAATGAAAAAATAAATAAAATGGAAGATGAAGGAGAAGAAAACTTACTTTGATCGGTGAGTGTTGGGCTGCTGCAAGCTGCGGTTGATGTGGAGGGAAAGGAGGATGAGGAGAGCAGAGCAGAGCAGAGCAGGAGGATGTTTACGTTATGTGTTTACCGTAGGTTATTAAGTTGTTTTGACCTTATTTACTTGGGCTTTGTTAAAAACGTGGGCTTCTTAATGGTCTTGTTTGACCGCACTGGTGAAAATAACTCAGTAAAACCGGAAATAAAATATCCCCTATCAGGCGCCTTATGCGATCGCTTAATATCGCTTCCGCGCTTCTGCGCTTCTTGCGCCTTACCTGCGCCTGACAAGGGATGATGCGACTTGCCATGTTTAGGGCGCTGGCGATCCCTAGCGCTGCGCCTGGTGCGCTTAAGCGCTCAGGCGCACGACTTTGACAACCTTGGGGCCGTCCAAAAAATAGTTCACGTTTCCATTTTTGGAAGGTTTTGTGTGGCTCACATTCATTTACCTATTTCTTACTCAACCATAACCATACATTTTCACTTTATTCTCACTTTCTTAAACTCAAATCAAGTCAATGCGGGAACTATTTTATGGGACGGAGGAAGTATATTCAAAACAAACTTACCAGTTATGTTACACTCGTATATACTACAACTACCTTCATCCTTTAAAATTGTGTCATCTTTGACTTTTCAAGTCAGTGGTGATAAACTTTGGACAATCATTTTCATTAGTATAATTTAATGAAAGTATATATTTAAATTTTTATGAAATAAATTTTAACATAGAAAAAATCATCTTAAAACGGAAAGTAATAGGTAGATTCTATAGTAATGCTTCCAAATAAGCTGTTAGTTATGCAAGTAATAAGTAGATTCTATACTTCACATGTCTTGATTCATTCATGTTTAATACATCATCATAATGCATTGCAGCTGCACTACAAGAAAAGGAATTGCTTGGCCCAAAAACGCTTGAACAGTTCGGTGTTTGTGAAATACAATCGCATGTTGAGGCGTCGATATGATGCACGTGATCACATCGATCCAATTTCTTATGGGTACATAGATGATAATAATGAATGGTTGACGGGTTCAATGGAGGGAGAATGTGATGATGATGAAGATACGATAATGCCAGATAATGATTTAACATTGGATGTGGAATTTGAGACTGAGAATGAAGAAATTGAGGAATTTGGGGAAGAAGAGGATGAGAATGATGCTTTAGAGGAGGATCCAGATGATTACAGTGAAGCGGAGGGGTCTGAGGACTCTTACATGTCATCAGACTTCGATGATTAGGGGGTGTCCATTGGAGTTGACTGAATGGTGCTTATACTAGTACTAGACTTAAAGCAATGACCACAATGTAGATTTGTTGCTGAGTATGGCAGTGAGTATACAACTTTTATGAAATGGGATGCAGTGATGATTATTAGCCTTATCTAATGAATTTTGCTGCAACAAAAAAAACTACCTTGCTTGCAAGGCTTATAGAACACTTCTTTTTTGGAAACTTTGAATTATTCAAAGAATGGATACAATTTTATGCATGGCCTTCTCTAATCACACTGGGGACTTGTTTAAGCTTGCTGAAGATACACTCGAGAAAGAAAAAAACATTCCATTTATAATAATAATAATAGTAGAAGTAGTAGTAGGCGTAATTATAATAGTAATCTTTGGATGAATAAGTAAAAAGTTTTCAAAAATGGTTTATGTAGCAAATAATGTAATCAACTTCCATAAAATAAAAGTGAAACAAGATCTGGAACTCGGCTGGAAGTGATTATCGCTACCTTCATTCCATGACTAATATTATTTTGTCAACTATTTATCCGATTGTTTGAAAATATCATCACTTTTCATTTAGAGTTGCTATTTTGTGACTAATATTATTTCACTCTGACACTGTATAAATAAATCTCAATTATATAACTTTTACTTTTTTATTTTGTGTGCCTTTCGAACTTAACACTGTTTTAAGACAATTATCTAGTGCACATACAGAAAATGCCCTTCTAATTTCTTGTGGTCTTCAAATAAAATTTTCTTTCTTTTTATGGAAAATTGTGTAACAAATATAGATTAAAGGCTAAAGGATCAAATAGGCCCTTGAACTAACTTAAAATGTTCAATTAGCCCCTTATATAGGAGGTTCAGCCCGGCCATCGCCAATTGGGGAGGTTCCCGGTGGAATTTTTTAATGAAATATTTTGAGCATCTTCTTCATTAGGTCTAGCTTACCCATATCAAATTTCAGCTAAAAATTAAATCGGGAAGGCAGTTAAATGATTTTCCGAAATGTACTGCGCTGTTTAACTGCGCAGTTATCTTCAAAAAATCATTTGACTGCCTTCCCGGTTGAAGTTTTAGCTGAAATTTGGTATGAGTAACCTAGACTTAATGAAGAAGATGCTAAAAAAATTTCATCAAAAAATTCCACTAGGAACCGCCTCAATTGGCGATGACTGGGCAGAACCTCCTATAAGAGCTAATTGAACACTTTAAGTTAGTTCAAGGACCTATTTGACCCTTTAGCCTAGATTAAAACACCATAGAAACAACATAAGCACAAAAGGGTATGGATTAGGGAATGGCCTCAGTTATAATCCAATACACAGTTTTGTCCCTCTACTCGACACTAGGCATGGACCCAGTTCAGGCCGACCGGCCCGGCCCACTACTGTGCGGGACCGGACCGGCCCGCTACTGTGCGGGAGCGGCCCGCTACTGTGCGGGAGCGGCCCGGCCCGGGATACCAGCTCCGGTACCGGGCTTAGGCCCGGCTTGAGGGGGTAACCGGGGGCGGTTCTGGGACATGAAAAAGGCAATCTGGACCGCCCGGGCCGGGCCCTGTTCGGACTTTTTTTTGTTTTTTTTGGGTTTGAGCTGGGTTTAGGTGGGCTGGGTGTTTCCGAGGGGTTTGGGGGATGGGGGGTTGAAATAATTAAGAAAACACAAATAATAATAAAAAATAAAAATCGGAACCGGCCCGGCCTAGAACCGGTAGACTCTCGGACCAGTCCCAAGCCTTACCCAAAACCATCCAAGCCCGGTTGGGCCCAGGCCCAAACCGGACCGAGCCCGGTCCACCCCTACACGACACTATTACTTGATCAAGTGACAGATATAATTCTTACCCACGGTAGATTGATATAATAAAACCAGGTGACAGATATAGAAAGTTAAAAAGTAAGCCATGTCAATTATGATTTATGATCATTACACTTCTTTCTGGCTAACTAACCTTAAAAAGGTATAAATGTATAATGGAGGGGGAAAATAGACGCCCACAAGTAATCCAATACCCAGTTTTGTCCCTCTACTCGACACTATTACTTGATCAATTTGGTCACTGGCTCACTGCTATGCAATTTAGACTCAATTTGATTCTCACTCACACATATTAAGCTCCAAACAAGAAGGATATTTTCATCATTTCACTACATCTAGACATCGTTTAGGACACAATTTGGTCCTAACATATATAATTTGGACCCAACTTAATACTCAATGTATGAAAACCCCTGCATTGAGTCTGAAAATTGCAAATTTGAGAACCAAATTCAGTCCGAAATAAAGTAGTGGGCTTAACTGAGAAGTGGTATACAGTCGGAGGGTCTAAATCAAATACTAACTTGCTTAAAAACCCGAAAGACGTAATGGGCTAAATAACAGAGAAATTCGGCTGCAACACAACCTGAAGCAATCAGACAAAACAATTACTCTCTTGTATCGTCAGAGGAATCGGCTGCTGGAGGATTTTGTGCTTCCAGAAGCTCCATCTGGCGTTCAGCGTGTTCTCTCTCACAGGCACTTATTCCCATAATGATATCAAGCATGGTTCCGGTTGTACCGAAGAATACAAGGGGTGCCAACGATTTCTTCTTTATGCCAACAGGTATTGCAAGCAAAGCACCAGCTACCGAAAAAACCCACGTCCCAAGTGCACTGATATGATTTATTTTGAAGTAAAATGTTAGAAGCTTTAACAAACATTATCACCTCAATGGATGGATACTGCAACAAAAAGCATGCATAGAGTGAATTCTTTTCGAAAGGATTATCCACAGCTACTTTCCCTAAATATATTATTACTACTGGAACTATATACTCAATCTCATAGCAGATATTATTGGGTTTCCGGACACCCTGCACACATAAGCTCACCAATTCTCTGAACTCTAAAGGTCCATTTGGATCCCGGAAAATGTTAGGAAGATCATTGAATAAAAACAGAGAAAATTTTGAAGGAAATGGAATTTGAGGGATGGGGGGGGAATAAAATATAAGCTAAAGTCTAATATTTGTTCATACATATTCTATTTATTATGTCTATTATGTGAAGACTGAGAATTATAGAGAAGTAAAAAAGGCATATACTCATATTTCATTTTCCTTCGCATTTTACAAGGTATAATCAAACATTAAAAACAACAGCTTTCCTTACACTTTTGTTCTCTTCCAATGCATATTCCAAGATCCAGACTAACATGAAGGCTTGAACCATGGGAACTTAAACTTGAAACTCTCACGTACCATGAAAATTTCTAGAAAGCCAAGTGAACCAGGAGTGACCAAGGTTGTTATAATCATATTATTTAATTGAAAAATAGTACGGCGTTTTAGAAATGGAACCATAAGATTTTATGAAAAATATATTAATTATTACCAATAAATTAGAAATTGAAAAAAAACACTACAATCTTATAAAAACATTTCAACTCATAACTTAAAACTATACATATGATATTTTAAACAACATTTACACTCTATTATCATATTGTTAATCAAGCAAATGATAGGCATTTAACATACTCGAAACGCAATTACCCGTCACCTTCATGAAAGGCATTGCTTTTATTTCTATTGGGTTTGCGGACATTTTCATTGGAAATATCATTCCTACAATTTTTAATGACCATAACAATTCTATACAATTGTTTACTCTTCTCGTGCGATTTAAATTGATCTACTAGCGTAGAATCATAATATCCTACAATTTTACCCCTTGAATCGCAATTTTTAAAACATTGGCAGAAACTTGATATGCATTATGGATATCCTTAGAGCTTTTTTAAAAAGCTTCTTATACAAATGGAAATAATTCATGCTTAGAAGAGTGTGATCTAATACTAAAACTATAATAATCTTAGTTGAATGATCATCAATCAACTCAAAGGTAAGTTGTTACTGAATGTGCTGTTGTTCGATCCCTTTGACTTCTTCTTGAAGAACTAGAAGATTTTTTATGGTTTTCAAATCTCCTTCAGTTCGTTCAATGTACTTTGTGGTTAACACATGCATAAGCTCCTAACCTCCAGACAGACACATTGCTTATGAGTCCTTTGTCTAGACATTCAAATTTCATTAGGGACAGTTGCTTTATTGACTTCATTACAAGTCACTTTGGCATTCAAGAAAGACCTAAAGAGAGGGAGTGTCATGGAGACGGTACACAACAAGAAAGCATATGAAGTCACAAAGTTATTCATATTTAACTTGTTAAAATCAAGAAAGATAGATTTGGAGTTCAGGTTCACAAAAATATCTTTTCTTGTTAGAGCACAACTTGATACTTTCACATCTCCACCCAGCCACCCAGAAGGTATCTCTTTCTTTATAAGTAACATAAGTATCAAATATTTTGGATTGAGTATTGCCTTAAATTCATCCTTATATGGAGAAACTATTGGAATTCATCTATCTGTTCAAATGAGATTCTACTTCAATACCAGGTTGTCACGGCAGCTAGGCGAGGCGCCAGCCAATCACCTTATTTTCTAGGCGTTGAAGCACCCACCTAGAGGATAACTAGGCGACAAGTCACACCATTATGTAAGATTTAAATATAAATATATACGGAGTATATATTTATATATATACACACACACACACACATATATATATTACTTCTTTACTTTTTTCCATCATTTGCCATGGAACCAAAGATTCACTATTTTTTGGCTTGGGCATATGATGGAATAAAGCAAAATGGCTCACAAAACTGTCTGCTTTTCTTTGTTATGAAGCAGCAATCAATCAATGCAATTTTCAACGCGATTTTCACCATGGGTCATCCGGAAACAGTCACTCTGGGCTTTAGTACAGGGGTAAGGCTGCGTACATCCGACCCCCTTACCCCACCGTAGGTGGGAACCTTTGCAGCACTGGGGTAATGATGATGATGATATTACTTCTTTACTTATTATTCAAACAAAAAATTTAATAACTCAAAACAAGTGTTACGATAAAAAAAACAAGTGTTTAACATTCATCTCAAATAGAAGTGTCCAGAGCAAAAGAGCGTTTAAACTACAAATTATTAATGTAGTAATAAAATTGACCACGAATGAAGTCATAAAATATTTTTCAGCTGTTAAAACAGTTGGTAAAGAAATAAACATGGAAATAT